GTTCATCTTCACCAAACCAAGAAATATATGGGCCTTCATCATCTTCTCCCATTCTCCAAAAGGCTTTTTCAAACTTTAAGGCGGCTTCCAACATCATATATGTGGAATTCCACCTAGTTGGCACATCCAACACCACAAGCCCTTTGCATTCAATTTGCTCCTTCTTAACACAACTTTTAAAGTCTTCTAACCTTTTGGGAGAAGATCTTACATACTTCACCGCATTTCTTATACACAATATGCTTTTCTCCAACTTCTTCAACCCATCACGAACTATCAAATTCACAATATGAGCACAACACCTAATGTGCATGTACTTTCCCTCTAATACAAGACTTCCATTTCCCCAATGACCCATTTTTGACTTCAAGTAATCTATGGCCTTTGTGTTTGAAGAAGCATTATCGGCCGTGATGGTTAGTATATTCTTCATATCCCAATCAAGCAAACATGACTCGAGGAGTTTACCAATTGAGTTCCCCTTGTGATTGGAAATGACACAAAAGTTCAATACTCTTTTGTGCAAGTTCCAATCACCATCTATGAAGTGTGCCATGATGACCATGTAATTTATGTTTTGAACACTTGTCCAAGTGTCCGTTGTGAGGCACACTCTATGAGGCGCTAATTCTTCTTTCAATTTTTGTTTCATGGCATCATACATTACCATGAAATGCCTCACAAGTGTCCTACGAGATGGCACTTGGAAATGGAGGTTCAAAGAATTACAAAACCGCCTAAACCCTTTTCCTTCAACCACACTAAACGGCATCTCATCCATTACTACAATCTCTACACATGCTTTTAACCACTCTTCTTTACCATGCACTGTTGATGTAAGAACCCCATGTTCTTGGTCAAAAGATAAGAGCTTTTGCCGTTTATCTTTAGGAACCCTCCCCGGATATTTCTTACATAGGTTTTCAATATGCTTCCTCAAATTTGAGGTCCCATTTCTAGTGGAGTCTGCCGCATAATTCATAGAGCAATACTTGCACCTAGCTCTCTTCTTAGTGGTTGCATATTTGCTCCCATCCTCTTTCACACTCTCAACCACATCTTCATATCTCTCAAAGTGGTCCCATACTTCCGATTTTTCTTTTCTTGGGCCGGAATGAGGTAATGGTGGAAGAGCACTTGATTGAGGTGGTGTTTGGGCATGAGGTGCACTTTGAGTTTGTGTTTGGGGTTGGGGTTGGGGTTGAGGGATGGGTAAAGTGGGTAAAGATGTTGATGCGGATGCGGATGCGGATGTGGATACGGATGCGATGCGGATGTGGATACGGATGCGGATGATGAACCAACTTCACTATTAGTAGTGCCATGCACCTCTGCAAATGGGTTCAAGTTCAACTCATCCATGAATTCTTTAAGAAACCAAAACAAAAACAAAAACACCAACTTCAACATGATAAACAACACCTCAATTTAAAAAAAATAAATAAAAGAAACTTAAACATTTTATAATCCAACCAAAAGAAACAAAACACAACCACTATAACTTATTACACTGTTGATAAATATGCACTATAACTTATGCACAACCAATTAATAAATATGAATCAATTTGATAAATTTCTACGGCTACCATTTTATTTTAATCAAACCTAAATTAATTTGAATCAATTTGATAAATTTCTAGGGCTGCCATTTTATTTTACCTCAATCAATTTGAACCAATTTAAGTTGAATCATTATAAATGAAAACGAAGGAAGAATTATCCTATTAACAAATCCGTTGAAATTCATTAGATTACTGAGCAAAAACAAAGCAATATGAAGCATGATGGCTCTTGATCTTGAACCCCTATGTGCCCAAATTAATCAAACAACAGACAATAACAAAGCCTAGAACAACCAGCCAGCTAGAAATAATCAAACAACAGACAATAACAAACCTGACAGCATAACAAAGAAACTGAAATTCTCTAATAGTTTATGGCGAATCATACCTGACAGAGAGAAAGAGAGCTAAATAAAATTAAAAGGTGGCTACGAACTGCTGTGCTGGATCTGCAAATTGCAGACAGATAGAGTTAGCCACAGATTTGAAGGGGGAAAAGAAAAAAAAGAAAGAAAAAAAAAAATAGACAATCTGACCTGTGACGGCAGCGACTGAGAGAGGTGGCGGCTCACAGAGAAGTGGAGGCTGAGAGAGGCGGAGGCTAAGAGAGGCGGAGGCTGAGAGAGGCGTGGCAACGGGAGAGGCTGAGAGGAGGTTTTGCGCAGATAGGTTTTGCGCAGAGAGGATTGGCTGTCAGAGAGGATGAGAGAGAGGAAGGTTGAGGGAGAGGTTCGACTGAGAGAGATGATGGCTGAGAGAGGTTTGGCGCACACAGCCTCTGTCGCAGAAGTTTCGGCGGCTGAATGAAGGAGAGAGCCTCTGTCTCAGAGAGGAACAAAATTGGAGCAGGAAAGAAGAAAGGAGGAAAACCTAATTTGGGTTATAATTTTGTGATGATCGTGTGCATGCAAGCCTATGGTAATCTCATATACAACCAATAAAAATGAGCTATGTCATAAAATATATATTATAAATATATATAATATAAAAATATAAAAAATATAATTATATTGGATCGGTTCGAATTGGACCGGTTCTGTGTGTTGGAAAACCGAGATCGGAACCGGTTTGGTTTGGATTTTTTTCGGTTTTTGACTTTTTCAGTCAACACGGTTTTTTTCGGTTTTTTCCGGTTTGGTTTGGTTCGGTTTTACGGTTTTGCGGTTCCAATGCCCACCCCTAATCCTGATTGCTTGTCAATGAGAGTCAATGGTTTCGTTGTTCCAGCACCTTAAGATACACACTTTATTGCACGTTTCTTTGTAATAGCTTGGCTTTGCATAGCCCACGTTATTTTGCTTAGGCATGATTCTTGTTAACAATTCGAGATCCCATCTAAGTGACTTTGCTTGGCATGCTTACTGCTAAGTGGCGGTTATTTTTTTCTTTTTGTTTAGCACAAAGGAAGTTTGAAATATAGCAAGGAAAAGAAAAAAAAAACTCCAGGGACCAATTTTTTTCAAAATACTCCTTCATTTTCATTGCAAAGCCCATGCTACCATGACGGTGCATCATACAAAAGTTTTTCTAAAAAATATAAGGTAAGATAATAGAAGGAGTTCATATCAAAAACGGAAAGAAATGCAATAACAAAAAGTGCATGACAAAAGGTTAACTTAGCAGTAGTAGAGCTTGAGCCACTTCCCGTTGATGGGATCTGTTAGCGTGCCTTCCTTGACAGAGACCAAGCGATAGTAGCCACTGCTGTAAACTTTTTTGACTGCGAACAGGCCCTCCCATTGCGGGGCAAACTTGGAAGGTCCCAACACTTGCCTCATCACGTGCTCAACAGCTTTTAGCACGAGATCTCCATGCTTGAAGGCTTGAGGCTTGAGGCTTGACTGTCTTGTTATAAGCTTGGGCAACAGTTTTGTGGTAAAGTGTTGTCCTCCTTTCAGCTTCTACTCTTTTTTCGTCCAAGGCTTCGAGGTCCAACAAGCGACAGTCTGAGCATGACCTCACATCACATTCAAGGTCGTTAACAACTGATACTCTAGTCGTGGGGATGGTGATTTCGACAAGTGAGATGGCATCGAACCCGTACACAAGTGAATAAAGTGAGAAGCCTATGGCACTTCTTGTAGAGGTGCGATAAGCCCATAGGGCATCTGGCAGATGAACACTCCAACCCCCTTCGTACTCATATACCATTTTGCTCAGAATTCTTAGTAAAGTCTTGTTAGTGGCCTCCGCTTGACCATTTCCCTGCGGGTAATAAGGCGTGGAGCGACAATGCTTGATACCATAGCCACTAAGTGTCGAGCTTACTTGCTTGTTAACAAAAGGTGTGCCAATGTCAATGACGATTTTGTATGGGATTCCAAACCTGCACACGATGTATTCACGAATGAAATTTGAGATAGTATCCCCCGTGGCCTTCCGAAGAGGAACTGCTTCGACCCATTTTGTGAAATACTCAATGGCTGTAAGGATCCAAAGGTAGCTGTCATAAGGTGAATGGATAGTCCCAATTAAGTCTAGGCCCCAAGTATGAAAAGGCCAAGGAGTACACATGTCCTACAACAGCGTAGGAGGCTTGTGGCTTAGATTGGCATGGATTTGGCATGTGTGGCACTTCTTCACAAAGTTATGTGCTTCATTCTTCATGGTAGGCCAGTAGTACCCAAAACTCAGTAGCTGCCGGTGAAGCCTCTTCATCCCCTTGTGCTCACCACATTCTCCAACATGTATTTCCTACATGACTTGATGTGCCTCTTATTTTCCCCAAGCATTTTAATGGCTCACCATTGAACCTTTTACGATAGAGGGTCGATCCATCTATGAAGTACCTTTTTACTGTCTTTTTAAGCTTGCAAGCATGTTTGGAGTTGGTTGGCAGAGTTCCCTCAATGAAGAATGTCAAGTATGGAGCCCTCTAATCTTCCGCAAATGAGATAGTGAAAGATTCTTCGGTGGAGGGTATCGTTGAACACCTAGGGCAATTGGCTTGAACTTCGGCTGCTTCTTTCTTCATTTCCGGCCAATGATAACCTTTGCGTTGCAGGCACCAATACAAGCTAATTACTGGCTCCAAATTGCAAGTGGCCTCATGTACCTCTTGGAGCCTCCTCTGTGCTTCTGTCATCCCTATGCAACATGCCAAAATACCTCCCGGGAGACGTCAGTAAAGCTCCCCAAAGATGATTGCATAGTCTTTCAAGTCTTTGATGTCGCTTCCCTTGCCTAACTTTTCCTTCACAGATTTCCTCCAGTCACTTTCTTCTAGGGCTCCTCCTGAGCCATTGCTTTGACTGCTGGCATGTCCTTTTTTATCACAGTAATGTTGGGTTGTTCTTCGACAAATGAGAGCTTTGATCCCAACGTAGCCAAAGCATCAGCATATCTACTGGTGACCCCTAGAATGTGTTCCAGCAAGACTTGTCTGAAAGAATTGACAAGTCTTTTAGCAGTTGTACGGTATAATGCCAACGTCGCCTCTTTCATAGCAAAGCTCCCTTGCAATTGACTTAGCACTAAGTTTGAATCACCAATGATTTTAATCTTTTCGATGCTCATCTCCTTTGCCATAAACAATCCCATTATGAAAGCTTCGTACTCCGCCACATTATTCGTGCATGGGAAATTCAGCTTGAACCAGAGGGCCGTGGCTTGCCCCTCGAGGTTAATAAGTACTACACTTGCTCCTCCACCGTTTGATGTAGAAGAACCATCAAGGTAGAGGGTCCATGGTTCTTCCTCTGTAACGACAGCCACCATATTCGGCAGCTCTCCCATAACTTCCTTGGAAAGAGTGGACTCTTTTGCTTCAGGAAATAAAGCCAACATGTCAATAACGACTTGTCCCTTGATAGCTCTTGGAGTTGTGCATGTGATATCAAACTCGAATAGCTATAGCAGCCAACATGAAAGGCGTCTTGACAACACCGGTCTCGTGAGCAAGTATCTTACGGGGTCGGATTTCACTATGAGTTGCAGCTTGTGAGCAAGGAAGTAATGTCGTAGTCGTTGTGCGGCATAGACAAGGGCGAGGCATAAGAGCTCAATCTTTGGATATCTCATTTAAGCTCCCCTTAACTATCTACTCACATAATAAATAAAGCTTTCCTCCCCATCATGGTTATCTTGGGCAAGCAAAGCCCCAACCACAGCATTTGTTGCAGCCAAATAAAGCTTGAGTGGAAGTCCTGTAATGGGTGCCCTCATGGTGTGCAGCTTGGTGATCAATTGTTGTACTTGCTGATAGGCTTCTTGGCACTCCTTACTCCATTCATATGGCTTGCCCTATTTGAGTAAATGAGTAAAAACACTCATTGTGGCAGCAAGGCCTAGGATGAAGCGCCAAATGTACAATAATCTTCCCATGAAGCTTTTCAATTCCTTTGGATTTCTAGGCGGTGCAAGAGAGTTTATGGCTCTGGACTTTTCGAGATCCACATCTATGCAACGTTGGTGTACTTGGAACCCCAAGAATTTGCCGGATGAAACTCCAAACGCGCACTTTTTTGGGTTCATCTTCAACCCGTACAGCCAACACCTTTCCAGCACCTTCCTTAGAACTTCTTGATGGCCTTCCCTAGTTTTTGATTTTACCACAAGATCATCCACATAGTCTTCCACCTCCTTTCTCATCATGTTGTGGAACACAGCTGTCATAGCCCTTTGGTAGGTAGCTCCGACATTTTTAAGACCAAAGGGCATGACCGTGTAGTAGAAATTTTCGTATGGTGTTCAGAAGGCTATTTTCTGGGCATCTTTGGGAGACATCTTGATTTGATTGTAGCCACTAAACCCATCCATGAATGACAGTAAACCTTGCACCGAGGTTGAGTCGATCATAATATCCATGTTAGGCAGTGGGAATTCATCCTTTGGGCAAGCTATGTTGAGATCTCGATAGTCCGTGGATATCCTAATCATGCCAATCTTCTTTTTTATTGGGGCTATATTTGCTAGCCAGGTTGGGTGCTTGATCGGTTTGATGAATCCAACAGCTAAAAGCTTTTCAATTTCCACTTTGATTTGCATTTCAAATTCAGGATGGAAGTTCCTTCTTGGTTGCACAACAAGTTTTGTACCAAGCTCAATATTCAAAGTGTGACTTACTAAGTTTGGATCCAAATCGGGCATTTCCTCATAGCTCCAAGCGAACACATCTCGAAATTCCTTTAACAAGGTAGCCAAAGCCTCCTTCTCTTCGCTTGCCAAGTGAACGATGATGGAGATGGGTCTTTGGACAGAGGGATCCTTACTTAAATTGACCGTTTCCAGCTGCTCAGCTACTACCGTTGACACCGTCATAGGCTCCTGGAAATCACAAGGCACGGGTGTTTTGTCGTCTGAACCTTCGTGGTTGTCTGCTTGCATCACTTATCCTTCGTACTCAGGGCTTTCTTGTAGAACACGGCTGAGCCCCCAAACCCGTCATAAGCGTTACATCGTGTGTCCGTCAGGCAGCGTAGCCTTCGAGCATTAAGGCTAAGTGTAAGCATGGTTGTTGACTTCCGAGTGTCTCTTCCTTTCTTGATCGACAATTGTTATGAGTTCCTCATTGCTAAGATCACGAATTTCAATCCAGGAAGGTAGATTGGTTCCAAAATCCTTGGATGGTTTACTTCCAGCACCTGTGCATTTGGTGTAGAATTCCCCCTCCAAATAGTGGGCTTTGGTTGAACGGCGCTTGATTTCCTGGTATGCGAAGTGGTCTCAGCCCAATCCTTCCCTTCACACATTGGTGGTAGGTAGAGACCACAAGCTTGTGCTTGTTCAGCCATGGCCTCCTTAGTAAAGCATGGTAAGCTACATCCACATCTACCACATAGAACTTAGTAAGTGACCATATTGGCCCCACCTTCAAGTTTATCTGCATGTGGCCAACTGTAACCTCACTCTTATTCCTGAAACCGCT